ATTTTGATTGATCAAGGATGAAATTCGTCACCAAATCATTGAACTCTTCAAAATATCTTAAGTGAAGACTGTGTGTACCTTTTTCGAAAATATGTATGCTGTAATATAAAATAAATTATATGTAAATTATGGTACAAAATTATTTCGCAGATCACTTTGAATTCTTTCGAATCCATAAAGATACAAACCTTGACTTGGCGATATTTTGCTTCAGATACGTCGCATGTTCCGGTAAAACCGTGTCATCTTTACCTCCATGAATAATCAACGTTGGGCATTTTATTTTCGATAATGCCTGTTTGCACAGGTCACCATTTTGCTTTTCGTTCAATCTTAGCATAGCGTCTATTATATCCGAATTAGTTTTTGTAAGGTAATCCTCGCCGTAAACTTGCATCAAAGTTGTTCTCCTTCTTTCCGGCCACTTGTTGATATCTCTCATGTCTACACAATATTAAAAAAAAGAAAATTATCCGAACAAAAAAAACGAAATATTTCACGCAATCTCTATAAAGATGAAATAGAATCAAAATATCTTATACTTTATAAATTTTAACTACAGTTAAACAATGTTTCTAAAAATTTTCACAGTTTTCGTAACTCTTCACAAAAGCATTTTTCTCAAATCTTAATTATTTTATCAAACTTTTACCCTTTATGTATTTTAAAGTCATTTTACTATTATGTTATAAATATTTTACAAATGTTATAAATATTATACATAATATAATTATAAATATTATTATTGTAAATTACATTATTACTAAAAAAAAGAAATATTTTTTTCTAGATATTGCATCTCTGATATAAAATACTCATACTTTCATATATTCCTTTCTCTTCCGGGAGCAGATATGCATTTGTACTATGAAGCACCATCTTACGAATGCTATCAGGATATTTTGAGGCAAGTATAAGCGATGTGATGCCGCCGTGGCACCAACCGATCAGAGAAAATTTTGAGTAGCCCAGAGTCTGTACCAGATTATGAGCCAATACTGCGTCACGTTGAAAGAAATCGTCCGGAAGAGTTCTGTCGGGTGGTCGCGATTTTCCATAACCAGGTGGGTCCCATGCTAGTATGGTAAACTTGTTTGTATTTAGATTTTCGATCTGCGGCTTATAATTAGTCCATATCGTTCCTGAAACACATAGTTTGATATAAAGAATTTTGACATTGCTATCGTTCTAATTTTAAAATCAAATAACATTTCTATCAATTTATTCAATCCTTTTACATTTTATCAAAACTTTAATATTTATCAACCTTACATTTTTGCATGAAATTATTATAAGTCGGTAGAAATATCCATAATTTTAAAAAATCGTTTGTAAATTACAATAATAACAAAAATAAAGAAAAAAAGACAATTAAAATTTACATATATGCATATTATATTTGTATATTTTTTTATTGTTATTTGTTTTATCATTAATTATTTATAATAAACTTGCGTTTCTTGCTTTATTATATTTTTGGTGGATTTTGAACATATTAGACAATTGTGTAATAATTTTTTTGTTTAAAGAAATATATAATAATAAAATGTATATATGTACCTACACTCGTAAAAAAATTATCGCAACACGGAATCAATATCAAAATTTCGCGTAAATTCAAATAAGCGTATCTCCGCGAAAAATTATCGTATTTGAAAAAATTTTTTTTGTTTTAAAGGATGAAGACTTTTTTTTTACTTTAAAAAAACTTTCGTTCAATTTTGATTTTATCCTCTCATACTCTCTCAACCCCGTTAAAAAGTAAGTTGCATTTTTTTGTCAAAAAATTGCAAAATTTGACGAACGAACTCTACGCGGTGAAATAAATTTTTTTCGCAAATCTTATCCAAGTTTTTGTAAAATATGGACTTTTTTCTACAAATAAGAAAAAAGCGAAGTACGTATGATTTTTTTTTTGCAAAGTTACGGCATATCAAAGTTATTTATGCATTTATGTGCAATTACCGCCAACATTAGCATTACCCGACGCGCACCAACAATGATTGTTGCTAATGAAGTTCTTCCTCACAGAATCAGTGATCAAACAAATTAAAAGACGTTTACGTGAACATGGTTTAAGATCGCAAGTTCGACATTTTCCTCTTCTAATGTATGAAAAAAATGTATGATCCATATTGTTTACAATTTATTACAATTTATTGTTAAATATAATAAACACGAATAATATTATAACATCTACATCTACATTTTCCTCTTGTAATGTATGGAAAAAAGTAAGATCCATACATTTGGAGAGAAAAATGTCGAATTTGCGAACTTAAACCACGTTCACGTAAACGTCTTCTAATTGTTTGATTACTGACCCTGTGAGGGAGATCGTCATTAGTAATTTGTCGCGCAATCATCGTTGGTGCGTGTCGGATATCGATAATGCTGGTGGTAAATGGAAAAAATATATGAATAATTTTGATATGCCGTAACTCTGCGAAAAAAATTGTATAAACTTTGCTTTTTTAATTTGTAGGAAAAAGTTCATTATTGCGAGATTTGCGAAAAAAAATTTATTTCATTTCGCAAAGGTCGTCACATTTCGAAACTTTTCGAAAACAAAAAACACATCTTACTTTTTAACGAGGTGGAGAGAGGGGAGAGGATAAAATCAAAATCGAACGAAAGTTTCTTAAAAAAGAGACTCCACCCTTTAACAAAAAACTTAAATTAATTATTATTTATATATATACTTACCTAATCCGCCAGGTAACAATAACACCAGATGATCACCTCTTCCGGTTTTGACGTAATTTATTTCGATACCGTCCACTTTGATTTTTCGTTCCTTTTATATAAATGATACTCTTTTTATGACGATTGACAATATGTGAGCAGTATATGAAAGTTGTGGAAATGGCAGATCGAAATGACAAATAATACGATCTACCATTTGATATTTTTACATTTGTAATACTTATTTTTACGTACCTCAATTTCACGAGTTTTATTTGTCATCTGAGACGGGCTGTTCGACTTAATAAATAATAGTAACTTGATATATAATTAATTTAAGCAATAGCCCTCACCTGACGCGACCGGGTCCGTGGCCGTCAGGGCTCTTTATTAATATTTAAATATATAACAATGGGCGCCAACTAATTTTTATAAAATTAGAAAATTGTAATTGGTATTTTAAATAAAATTTTTTTTCCAAGTTATATAATAATTTCTTATTGCTCGTTTCACATGGCCTCGTAATATTTAATAATTTATCATTGTGTTTGTTTTTATACGAGCTTGAGTATTGTTACGAATTAGTTGATTTTGTATTATTTTTTCATTAGTAAATTTTTTTCTTTTAAATTTAGATTAATAAAACAAAAGAATTTTTGCGGAAAATTTAGTAGGTTCTCAGGGATGGGACTTGGGAGGACCCAAAATTGTAAATTAAGAAAAATAAGGTCGAGAATTATATGGAAATGGAAAAATGCTCCGGGCAGAGCTGCATAAATAATTGCTACTCACACGTATAACCGTAAGCCAGATTTATAGAATAGACTCTCTCTCTCTTTGTGTATAAACTTGTCTTCGACAATTCAAGACAACAATCCTCAGTTTAACGTTTAATAATCAACGGCGGTCCGACTTCTCGAGGAAACGACTCATGCAGCCTTTTACAACGTGTATTCTGACAGAAGGCCTATCGCAAAGTGCCCGCTCCGATCTTGGCAGTAGATTGTCACACCTGGCCTGGCTGTTGTCGGCTTGAATCGGTTCAGAAAGTAAGGCCTTCGTTCCTTTTCGTCAAGTATTCTTGAGTAATATGATGGATAGTTCAAACGTAACATGGATGTGACAAAATAATTAAAAATAAGATTTTCACAATAGTATCTAAGTGTGGGAACTCCCGACGAGTCGGATCGCATTGACGTTGAGAGAGATTTTACTGTTACACATCGCTGATAGTTGTCGAATTGACAGAATTGTTCTCTTGTACTCTCATTTTGCGTATTGTAAACGCGAAACAAACGTACGTGTTTGACCACATATTGTGCAAGTTATGACTGACGAAATATAATGTAAGCGAGCGCTTTCTAATTTATTCATGTGTACAAATAACTTATATTCTAAAAAAGTTTATAATAAATAAGTCATATTTATTTTTACGTCCATATACTTAACAAACTACTTTACAATAAATAAATTTACAATAAATAAATCATATTTATTTTTACGTCCATACTTATTGGAAATAGAAAAGTGAAAAGTTATATCTTTAAAAATTAATCATTATTAATTTTTACGAATATATAAACATTCATAACTCATTTAATTATCTTAAATTATAAAAATTTATATTTTTAGAATTAATTATTTATTACATTATACAAATTGTTAAACAATCGGTGAAGTAGGAATATAAAATCTGTTAAAATATTTATGACAATTTAGTAATATAATATTAGTTGAACGATATAATAATGATGAAAATACTAAAACTGGAATGAAAAAACTGAAAGACGGGACGTTTTATAATAACTATTTTTATATACCGTATTTAGCAAACTAATAGAACTCATTTTCTTTTCGAAGCAAAATGTATATGTATTTTTGTGAGAAAAAAATTATATCTATCATTAAAAATAAGAGTATATAATTTTCAACATAAAATTGCTAGCGATTATAACACGTATTAATTATTTATACATTTAGCGCAATTATTGCAAAGCGTGTGCACGCAAAAAAAATATAGAATAATTTAAATAACGTTCTCGTAATTAAATGATTGATGCATTATCAGCTGATAACTTTAATCACTGGAGAACTCCAAAAAATACAAATTAAAAAAAAAACGATAATTTTAAAGTACATTAATTATTCTATATTTTCATTTTGTGTTTATCAATTTTAAATTGAACAGTCGAAATACAACAAGAAGCTTACATTTATATTTAAATGTATATGAGTTTTTCAGACGCAGTCTAAGTGAATTTTATTTTAGGAGGCATTTTAAATATCATTATGTAAGTTCAGGAGACACATGTTTTTCAAATAATATTTTTTATCAAACTGAGGATCGTTCTATTCATGTCTTCCGACATTTTGGAGCCCGTGCTTGCATTTTTAATTAGTTTCTGTATATTATCAGAACTCTTTGGAAGAGCATTGTACATGTTCAGAAAAGATGGTAATATTACAGGTACACCAACTGTAATTCCCTCATTTTGTGCTCGATTATCAAGGTGATCTATTAATCCTGAATAAAGTTCTGCTCTTAATTGAGGTTGATTTAATTTAATATAATTAAGTCTATTGGCTTCAGTTTTCATATAGGCATCAAGTATAAATTGACATCTCAATTTGCCTGCTCTTTTAAATTGGCTAAATTCGGCTCTTGGTGCCAGCAGATGAGCATAATAATCCATTTGAGTAACTTTAAATCCTGAATATTTAGAATTATAAGATTTCATTTCTGAATGCCATCCATCGTTACCATATGGATATAACGAAGGATAACACATTGGGTCACACCTTTTGTCCAGAATTGATATTTGTTGAACATCGTTTGAATTTTTATTATAAATTCGAATGTCTCTTTCAAATGGAGGCTCACCATCTACATTCTGAAAGACCACAGCTATTTCATTAGCTTGTGGAGCATTATATCTTCTTTGATCATGTTGAGAATCGTTTCGAAAGGACAACATTAAATTTATATTTTTATTGCCTATCGGATTAAGATCTTGTTCAACTTGACGCATCATCTTGAAAGTCTTTGCAAATTCATTGCATTCAACCATAAAACTTGACAAATTTTTCATTATTTCAAAATCACACTCTTGATTAGCTTTCTTATTCATTCTATGATTTATAGCTTCTTCTATATCTAAAAAGTAAAGCTGCGCAAAGCGCGGGGCTTGCCCATCTGCTGGGCGCATTGCTGTCGAAGTCAAATGATGATATTGCCCATGAATCTTCAAGCAATAAGGAGCATTGTTCACAACATCCAATGGATTTCTATTGCCCGGGGCACCCATAGAAGCCATAGCTAAAGCGCTATTATATGAACGAATATTATGAAGGAAATTTTTCGATGCATAATCATTTCCCATGTATAATTTTTTAATAAAATCAGGACAATTTATTGACTTTAATGTAAGCTTACCCTTTTGACAACAATATGTAAATTTCCCATCTTTAGGTTTTTCACATTCAAAATTTAACGATTTGCAAAATTGGCATTCTATATTCATTTGGCCAAGTGTATGAACTGACACATTTATTTCATTGTCCTTGGCAATTAGCGCAATATGATGATTTAATTGTCTAGCTTGTTGCCTTCCCTGAGCATGTCTTTGGGCATCAGCTTCGAGTCGTTGAGACCTTGCGTCATTATTTTCATTGACCCTCTGCTGATAATTTCTTTGAGCATTAGCTTCGAGTCGTTGAGACCTTTCGTCATCATTTTCATTGACCCTCTGCTGATAATTTCTTTGAGCATTAGCTTCAAGTCGTTGAGATCTTTCCTCCGAACTCTCAATTTTTCGTATTTGTCGTAAACGCTTGCTTTCGCGACTGATTTTATATAAATTTCCGCCTTTTCTCTTTTGAGGCATACTTATCTGCGTCGTACCATATACGGCGTGTACGTAGGTATATTATAAATATATTGCCGTAATAATTATATCTATATTATCTATCTATATATATAAGTACTGTCTGTCTGTCTGTATGACCAAGAATTATTTATTCATTAATTCATCGATTTTCTTGATAGAATTTTTCTTTTTCGTGCTTATTCTGTTTTATATTAATTCTTTGTATAAGCACACAGCAACCTTTTTATATAGGCGCACTGCAGCCTTTTTTACAGACGCACAGCAACCTTTTTTATAGGCGCACAGTAGTCTTTTTTATACAGGCGCACAGCAGCCTTTTTTTACAGGCGCACCGCAGCCTTTTTTTTACAGGCGCACAGCAGCCTTTTTTTACAGACGCACAGCAGCCTTTTTTTACAGGCGCACCGCAGCCTTTTTTACAGGCGCACAGCAGCCTTTTTTTACAGGCGCACAGCAGCCTTTTTTTACAGGCGCGCAGCAGCCTTTTTTACAGGCGCACAGCAGCCTTTTTATATAATTTTATATATTTTTTTATTTATATATATATATTTTTTATATAATTTTTATATAATTTTATATAATTTTTAAATAATTGAATTTAGAATATCTAAGAAAAAATTTTTTATATACGAAAAATCTAATAAAAGTGTAATTATTATAAAATAATTACAAATATTTAAACATATTTATTACAAATACCTATAAATAAAATAGCTACCGTCTCTCTCTCTCTCTCTCTCTCTCTCTCTCTCTCACTCTTCAACGTTTTAACTTCGTTTATCACTAACTTTCTTCCTTCGCCTACCACTAACCTTTCTCGTAAAGTTTTACGCCTTCGACTCCTTTTTTGTTGTACTAATTTTATTTATTATAATATTTTCTATTTTATTTGATCTATCCGTTATGACATTTAACGTAATTTAATATGAAACCAGCAACTTATATAATCATTTATTAAATGACTCACGTTAAAAAATCGAAACTCACTCCTAAAAAGTGATATTTACAAAATCACACCAATAAGTAATTTAAAAAAAATTTGTGTACGTGTTTGTGATTATGTGTGCAATTCGTGTAAATAAACCTTTAATTTGTATGCCTTGACCATAGTAACATTTAAATTCAATATTCTTATTTTATACAAACATTTCCTTCAACTTTTTTTAAATCAATGTGACACATAATACGGCTTAACCAAGATGTCTAAAGAGAGCAGCGAAAATGCATGCAGTTCAAATCAGCATAATGTAAGTAGATTTTAATTTTAGAGAGAGAGAGAGAGAGAGAGAGAGAGCGTGTGTCTTAAAGAAAGAGAGAGAGAGAGCGTGTGTCTTAGAAGAGAGAGAGAGAGAGAGAGAAAGAGAGAGAGAGAGCGTGTGTCTTAAAGAGAGAGAGAGAGAGAGAGCGCGTGTCTTAGAGAGAGAGAGAGAGAGAGAGAGAGAGAGCGTGTGTTTTTAAAGAGAGAAAAGAGAGAGAGAGCGTGTGTCTTAAAGAGAGAGAGAGAGCGTGTGTCTTAAAGAGAGAGAGAGAGAGAGAGAGAGCGTGTGTCTTAAAGAAAGAGAGAGAGAGTGAGGAAGGGGGAGAGAGGGGGAGAGAGAGAGGGGGGAGGGATAGTAAAAGAGAAAGAGAGAGAAAAAGATAGACATGTGTGTTTGTGTGTGTTAAAGAGAAAAGAGAGAGAGAGAGAAAATGATTAATCTATTAATTTATCTATTTTTAGAATAACGGTAGCGAAGATTTTAATGCCGAAAATGATATATTGAACACAAAGGTACTACGGGAGTTGCAACGGCAACTGACCGCTGCTTTGGCCAAACAGCCACTACAACCTGAAGTGGCTGTTAATAATAATCCACAACCTGAGGTGGCTGTTGAAAATATACAACCTGAGGTGGTTACTAACAATCCACAGCCTGCAGTTTTAAAAGAAATGGAAGAAGATAAATTTCAACGTAAGTATCCATATTTATAAATATTTTTTTCTATTCATTTATCTATATATAACCGTGACCTACTTTTACATTTATGGATTAATTCCCTTATAATATCAAAAATCTATGTATATTCTTTTTACAGCAAAAACTAAAGCTCGATGGGCAAGAGCAGGACGTGGCCGTGGACGCAGACGTGGCCGTGGACGCGGAAATACTATTATAAATTATATCAATATGTAAATTTGTATCATCTTTGTCAAAAGCAGCAGACAGTTACTGTTATACCTATTCGTCTGAAATAAATTATTTTCGGCAAAAAGTGCTTCGCTACTTAGATTATTTTAAAAAAATATATAAAATATATCTGAAATATATCTTATCTTTTTCTTTAAAAAGACACACACACGCACACGTTCTCTCTCTCTCTCTCTCTCTCTCTCTCTCTCTCTCTCTCGGGCTCTCGAGCAGACGTGTGTCACATCGCTCCGTCAAAATTCTAAGTTTTCGTTAGTAAATAGAGAAAGAAGAAGGTAAATAAGTTGCTCAAGTTACGCCGCTATAGACCGGGGATAACTATGAGGGTTATCTAGCCGGGATGTCGCGATATGTGAATGTGAGCAGTGAATCTATTGTGGAACAGAGAAGTTTTCGCAAGACAGGTAGACATCTTTTGCATTATACGTGGTCATTAGTGCTGACGTGTGTAAGTGGATCACAGGTCTGCGAACGCTTAGATAGCGATCTCGGCCGGTAATTATCGACATGGACGATGAATATGCAGAGTATAGATGCTCGGCATGTAAAAAGGCAATAAAGAGTAAAGTTGTTAAATGTAATACTTGTTCAAAGCTTTTTTACCATCCAGGATGTGTAAGTAAGCATAAAATTCTAGATAAAAATCAAGAATACGTGCTGTGTAAAGGACCATTTGTGGAGTTTTTGACCGATAGTGAGAAAGAAACAATCATGAAGAAAACACCGGCGGCGGGAGGAAAAGATAAAACATCATCTACAGGATCTACAGGATCTACAGGACCGTCCACAAGCGGTGGTATTCAAGGGTTAGGCATTGATGTAAAAGTAGACTGGATCATTAAAGCTGTAAAAGAAATAAAAAATGAAACGACCTGTAAAAATGAAATTAAAAGTATGATTAAAGAAGCACTTCATGAAGAACTAGGAAGTATTAAACAAGAAATAGAAAATTTGAAGAAGATGATGCAAGAAGTAGCAGGTGGCTCAAAGGAAGGATTGCAGAGGAACTACAGTGAAGCGGTAAAAAATAAGAAGAAAGAAAACATTATAATTGTGCAACCGAAGAGGGAACAGGAAAGTGAAACTACCAAAAAATTGGTGAAAGAGAAGATAGATATAAAGAAGCTGGAAGTGGGAATATCAAAGTTGAAGAAAGGAAATAAAGGATCGATTATTCTTGGATGTGAGAGCGAGGGAGAAATGGAAAAGCTGAGGGTTACAGTACGTGAGAAGCTAGGTGACGATTTCAAGGTCACAGAACCGAAAGGAGTAAAACCAAAAATAAAGGCTGTAAATGTTGGAGAAGAAGAAATGCAACTGGATGATGAAGTCTTAATTGACTCAATCAAAAAACAAAATAAAATTGACGAAGAACTCCACATAAAAATAGTAAAGAGAATGGCCAAAGGTAACGAAAATTCTCGTGCTGGAAGTGGAAAAAAAGAAGACGGTTCCTTAATAATGGAGGTAGATGAAATTGCCCATGAGCTGATGCTGAAAAAAGAAAAAATAAATATCGGATGGAGGAAATGTCCTGTGTTTGAACATTACAGTGTTAAGAGATGCTTTAAATGTTGGGGTTACTATCATATTGCTAAAAATTGTAAGCGAGAAGAAACATGTCATAAATGTGCTGGAAATCATAAAGCAAGTGACTGTAAGGTAACGAAGATGAGGTGTGTAAATTGTATGTACAAAATTAAAACGTACAACTTAAAGATAAATGACGAACATGATGCGTTAAGCAGAAAATGTCCGACTTTCACCAGAGCACTGGAGGAGGAGAAAAAAAGAGCGGGCTGGGAGTCCACTAAGTAGCAATCATGGATGGAATCAATTGTATACACGAACTCGCAGAGTGTGATGGCGCACAAAGATGAAATTCAAGACTATATGAAGAGGATGAATCTTGCAGTCGTGGCGTTGTCGGAGACTAGGCTCATTGCGGAAATAGAAGACAGTGAAGTGAATGCGCCGGGATATAGTTTAGTTAGATGCGATGGGGAAAATAGAAACACAGGAGGCGTAATGATTTACATAAGAAATGATATCAAATATGAGGTAATAGTTAAAGAAAAAATAGTATCTAACTGTTGGTGTGTAGCGATAGAAATGCGAGATAAATATATAAAGGAGTAATTACAGTAGTGTACCATTCACCGAGCGCGTCGGATGGTGATTTCTTAAGATTTATAGAGGATGTAGTGGACCGTTTAGTAGCGAAAGGGCAATGCGTCATGTTGGGTGATTTTAATATAAACTTAATGACGGAAGTGTTTTATGCTAAAAAGCTAGTAAATGAGATGTTGTGTTTGGGCATGAAACAATACGTAGACAAACCAACTAGGATTACAGAAAATAGTCAATCTTTGATAGATTTAGTTTTTGCAAATACTAAGGTAAACTGTATCGTATATGATAAGCCGAGGATAACAGATCATTTATGGATAAGCGTTGAACTTAATAGAAGTAATATTGAAGAAAAATATAGAGAATTCATTAGTAGAGATTACAGCAAATTTCAAATAGATGATTTTTTATATGCAATAGAGGAAGGATTAGAAAGTAGAATTAATTTAGGGGTAAATGAAAGAGCAGAGAAATTTGTGCAGAATATGGTAGTGGCGTTAGATAGGGTAGCACCAAAGAAAAAATTTAAAATTCCAAAGATATGGGAAGGAAAAAAATGGTATACGGATGATATAAGATTAGCTACAAATGCAAGGGATGAGGCGTATGCAAGAGCGGTATATGCGGGTGAAGAACAAGATTGGTTACAGTTTAAAACTGAGAGAAATACGGCAGTCA